CTCTGATGCATAGCACATAATTGCAAAGTCTATATATAGCTTGGATCAGGCACACCTTAGTCTCCAGCCTGACATCGTTGCTCTTCAGTACTCTTGAGAGGTCCCTCAAAGCTGACTTTCCCAATGCAATTTGTCTCTTGATTTCCTGGCTGCTGTTAACCAGAGTGTTGACTGTGGGATCACGTAAACGAAAACTGTTAACTCTCCATCTCTTCATCATCTATGCTGATGCTGCCAATTGGCCCAGTGGTGAGAATCTTTGTTTTCTTGACGTTGAGCTTCAATCCATATTGAAGACTGCAGTCCTTGACCTTCTGCAGCAAGAACTTCAGGTCCTCCTCAGTTTCAGCAAGCAGCGTGGGTTAACTTACAAAATTAAAATAACACAGAGGTTTATTTAAGTATCTGATACAGGATGTTGATTCTCTGGAGTTAAGGTGTCATCTGACAATTTGCATTTCTTACTCACTGCCAAGTAGTGGCCCAGCTGCTCAGCTGGAGAGGGGGCAGTGGGGAGCCTACTTACTTCTCAGTGGATGACTCCTCCATACTTGGTCTTAGAGGATTCCTTTGTTCAAAACTCACAGGAGGTGAGAGATTTATTTAGCTGAAGTGCAAAGAGTAAATTTATATCTCAAGTGACACAAGTATATTATTTTTCTTTTGATGCCTCTGTGGCTGACAAAGAACTTAATCTTCTAGTAGTGTCTACAGAGACAGGGACAGTGCCTTCTAAATAACAAAATTCATTGCCATTGAGTTGGAACTTACTGAAAGCCAATGCTCAAGTGAGTTTTTGGAAACTAAATCACATGGGAGGAGACTGCCCATTTTTCTCTCAAGGAGCCACTAGTGGATTCGAACTGCTGAAGATGGGCCACTTTTGGGTTAGCAGCACAATTCCCTGTGGACCAGGCCACCAGAGCTCCCTACTGCTCTCTAAAGAAGTCTAAATATACTTTCTCGTGAAAGTCCTACTAAAATGTAAAGCGCTGAGATGGATCCTGTGTAACACAGCTTCCGTGGCTCTTAAGTTTCTTTGTGCTACTATGACTTTAATGAACAAAAAAGTATTCTCTCACCATGCAGGAGGCTCTAGGGGAAAGCTCTGTGTCCATTTTGGAGGAAATCCTTACCTCAGACTTGCCAGAATTCTTCTTGAACTTCCTTGGTCATCTGCATTTGACATCTGTCTTTCCTTTTTACATTTCAAGAGTAACTAGGTATATGACACCTCCTATATTGGTATGGCCTCAGTGATGTCAGTTTGAGGACTAAGATGTGTCTGATTCAAGCCATGGTCTTTCTGATCACGTGCTATACATTTGAGAGCTGGACAGTGAATAAGAATGACAGAAAAATTGATGTCTTTGAGCTATGGTGTTGGAGAAGAGCACTGAACATCCCATGGACTGCCAAAAAAATAACAATAAATATGTCTTGGAGGGTCAAACCGGGCTGCTCTTTGAAGGCAAGGATTCTGAGGCTCCGTCTAACATACTTTGGACATGTTGTAAGGAGGGATAGGTCCTTGGAGAAGGACATCCTGCTTGGGAGGGTGGAGGGACGGCGCAGGAGGGGAAGGGCCTCTATTAGGTGGATTGATTCAGTGACTGGGGTAATTGGGATGGGTGTGTCAGAGACAGTGCGATTGGCACAGGACAGAGCGGAGTTTAGGGCTGTTGTACACAGGGTCACTATGAGTTGCAAGCGACTCGATGGCACACAACAACAACAACGACAACATGTCTTGGAGAGGGTACAGCCAGAGTGTTCTTTGGAGGCAAGGATGCTGACGCTTCACATCATATTTGGGCATGTTGCAAGGAAAGGTCATTCCTTGGAGAGGGACATGATGCTTGGAAAGGTAGAGGGTCGGCGAAGGAGAAGACGACCCTCATCTGGAGGGATTGACACGCTGACTGCAGCAGTGAGTTCTCATGTGTCAGGAAGTGTAGGACAGGGTTCAGATCTGCAGTTCACAGGTTTGCCATGAGTCATAATTGACTCGACAGCACCTAATAGCAACAACATTAAGAAGACAAAGCCTACTTCCAACCAGGATTACAAGTATAGGGAGTTAGGTTTCCAACACATAATTTTGAGGAATAAAATTCAATCTAGAAAATGGTTTCATAGACAAGTCAGCCTGCAGGGCCCTGTGGTCAAATCTCCAAACTCTCTTCACACAGGCAAACCAACCCTTTTTTCCTATTAGAAGGAATAAGATGAAAAATGGAATTTGCCACACTTGAGGAGACAGAGAATCATCGGCCATCTTAAAGCTCAAAACTCACCTCAGAGCCAGCAGAAAGCTTAATAGGCCCTGAAGCGCTCCGGTAATTTAAAGAGCAACATTGATTTTTAAAAATCGATACCTGCAGAAAAGATTTTGGTTCCTTTATTTCTTGATCTGCACACTGAAATGGACAGTTGCACTGACAGATAAATGCAAGGAAACCCTGAAGGTTTTTATGAATTTCATTTCTGACCTCTTCATCCTGAGGTCCAGGCTACTACTGGTCAAGGCAACTATATCACTTCAAGGGATTGCAAAGTGAATCCCAAATAAAGCATCATTCAGCACTTTAAAATAAAATGTAGGTATTAACTCCTCAGGCAGGACCTCATAGGGAGACTTAAGCCATCCCAAAGTGAAATCTGTGACCATTCCTCATGGTAAGAACAGTGTAAGGTTCAGTACAAATTGAAAATGCTGTTGTCAAGAAACTCCCTGATTGATGCTGACTCCACACACAATGGAGTAAAATGCTGCCCATAAGCAAGCCTGCAGATCAGAGAGCTGTGATTCAGAAGGCTTTTACTGGTCTTTTTTTGAAAATGGATTGCCAGGCCTTTCTTCCTACTGTCTTACCATTAAACCTGTTCAGCATCACAGAAGCACACAAGCCTCCTGTGGCAGATGGGTGATGGCTGTACATGAAGTGAACTACTGACTGGGAAATGAAGGTGAGGAGTCTACCCTGAGCCACCAACTCAAAAGAACTGCTGCTGTTGAGTTTATTTCAATTGGTAGGGATCCTCCATCTGAGGCTGCAAATTGTTACAGGAGACTCTGTATGTTTTTCCTGCAAAGCAGTTTGTAGATTCAGACCTCCGACCTCTGGTCTAGATGAGCGCTGTAGCTCATAACACACTACAACACCAAAGCTCATTGTTAAGTTGACCTCTACTCATAATGACCTGATAGGACAGAGAAGGACTATTTCATAGGATTTCTAGGCTAAAGTCTTTAGGGAACTGACTGCACATTTTTTTCCCTATAGAGCAGAAAAAAATAAGGGTTTGAACTGACAGCCTTTCAGTCCAGCTCTTAAATGTTGTGCCATGAGATTGCCTTCAAATTAAAAATTAAACTGGTGGTTCTACCACCGAACCATCAGTATTGTCTCAAACGAAAAGCAACTCATAGCCACTACTCTGATTCTGACTTACAGCGACCCTGCAGCGGCCTTTACTTCAGAAAATGTGTCATTTTAAGTTCTTTCTCTGTTTGTGTAAATGAAAGATCTTTCCTGAAGGACCTCGGAGACTTTTCTTTTGAAAAATAATCCTCTCTTCTCCAGTTTCGTTGGAGATGAGCTTAACTTCAGGTAGTGCCAGGTTCCAAATTGCAAATCTACGTAAAGCCATAAAGAGAAGAGAAAATCGACAACTTTATCTTGAAAACAAGAAGGGAAAAAGTTGTATCCAAGTAGCTACACTAAAGAGTAAGATGCCTTTCTGTCTTTGAGATCTCTTCAGCAGACTGTCTGAGAGACAGCCCACTCAAGTTTAACACTGATTCAGAAACAAAGTTGTTTTCTTTCACCCATGCCTTTGTGGAGATTTTTTCAGGCTAAGGAGCAGATCTTTGTCTGTAATTAATTCTCCCTAAAAACAGGTACTCAGGAGAAAGACAGGTAATCTCTTCTTGTGTGATTAACAGCCTCTGAAACCACACTGGAGGGTCAGCTGAGATGCTTCCAACTCTATGAGTTAGTATATAACAATAACAACAACAACAGGCACCATAATAGATACCACAGAATGATGTCCCTCTAGACACATCAGAATGGGGCCAGCCCACAACTAAGAAATCATAGCCGACTTTAGGCTAGGAATCCAGGTACAGCTATAGATTTACTTCAGAGAAAAGTGATGGCTGAATATAAACTTTTTTTGTTGACTGAAAATGCTAAGTGCAACCAGAATAATTTCCCCAAGAGCTTTTCTGTCAGTGCAAGGTGCAAACAGATCCCAAAGGAATATAATCTGGGTGAGATGCCAAGAGAAAGTTGAGTGAGATTTTCTGCAGCTTAAATCACTGCTGAATCAAAGTGCAACACCTGGTCCTACAGGCTCTGGGACCAAAGGGCGCCAACACACGCCTCTTTTCCCTCTGTGTACGTTACCTTGTGTCCCAGCTGCGCTGCTTCTCCCCGTGCTGCTGTGGTGATTGGGTCAATGAGGTGTCCAATTTCCTGCACCACTGAAGTCAGCTGCTCCTGTAGGGCCTGATAAGGAGAGAATTGTCAAGTTCATCCCACATTGGTCCATCACAGGGCTGCACCAATTATAAAAAGGAGAATCCCATGAAATGGACATCAAAACGCTTGCACCCATCCCATGCAGCTGTGGCTTCACCCTGCTCTCCACACTGCTGGCTCCCTTGGGCTCCAACCCCTTGGACTACTTCTGATGAGAGACTAGAGGCAGATCTCAGAAAAGTTCACTTCAGCCCTTTCTGACAACCACTGATCTTCCTGGTTTCTCGTTCCTACCAACCAGAGGTGACAAACTGATGCTACTGGTATCTTTACTGGTTATTCAGTGTTTTACTGAAAAGGCACACCAGCTATGGTTTTCCAAGAAGGAAAGACAATTTCATCCAAATGGGAGAACTAATGGAGAAAGGACTGAGGGAGCTTCTAGGTCATTGTTTTCTCCAGAACCAATAATGTCTTAAGGGAGAATGAGAAAGATGGAAAATGAGATCACCTCTCGGAGAGCGGGACCACATTCTGACCAGTGCCCTGTGAAATTCCAGCTGAGGTGCCCGCTGAGTTCAGCTTGGGCTGTAGTTCATTGCAACATGATGCTGACACAAATATTAAAGCTGATACCCTCAAGGTGGTCCTATCTATCTATCTATCTATCTATCTATCTATCTATCTATCTATCTATCTATCTATCATCTATCTATCCCAAAGAATAGAAATTTTGCTGAAAAGCAATGGAGCAATGATGGTTAGAGGATACTGAGCATGAGAGATGGGGAATCCGAAGGTGAAGATTATTAAAATCTAATATGGGTGCAGGAAACCACGCTTAAGTATACAGCTTGATGAGTTATCACAAAATGAGCACACTACCCAAAGCCAACCTGCAGACTGAGAAGCAAAGCTGATTAAAAAGAAGCAGGCTCTGGTTTATGGTAGGAATACCATGGCCACTTCATCTGTTAGATGCAGGATTTGTGAATCAGGACGCTGGACAGCTCCTGACACAGGAACAAAGTCATCAGAAAAAGAGACTCTGCCCTTTGCTCCTTTTACACAGAAGGATGCTATATAGAGGGAGAGTGAGGGTGGGAGGCATGGGATGAGCTTTGTCACGAAAAACCACAGTCTAAAATGTACACCAAGAACAAAGCCCTAGAAAATAGGAGACAGGGAGTGCGCCAAACTTCCCATGGTCTCGTTTAGCTGATAGCTTAACTCTTTTCATATTCATCTTGTGATTCTGGTCAAGAACACAAGAACAGTCTAACAACGTTGGCTTAGAAAAGTTGGTTTATTAAATTAAATATGGGATAACTAGGAAGCACATACAGATAAAAGGGAGCAATATTTATAAGTCTTGCTTAAAAGAAAATTTCAACTATGGACTACAAAGAAAAGCATAAATTCTATATGAAAGGGCCAAGTAAGAAAACAACACACTGTAGCATTCCATTTATATAATAAAAATGGAAAAAGGAAGTCCTAGAAGATTCACTGTGAGAGGGATGGTGAAAGGATGGAGGCAGAGGGGCACTTTGGAGCCGCTGGTCCTCTTTCTTCATCCGGGTCCTGGGTTTTGGGTGTGTTCATTTGTGATAATTCATCAAGCTGTACACGTATGTTCACTTTTCTGTATCCATATATTAGGCTTTATATATAGGAACACGTCATCTGCAAATAGAGATAGTTTTATTTTTCTTTCTTTCTAATTCGGATACTTTTACATTTTTTTCCCCTTGTTGTATTACTTTGGTTAGAGCTTCTAAAGCAATACTGAACAGAAGCTATGTTGGTGAGCAGTCTTGTTTCGTTCCTGTTCTCAAGGTGAATATTCTTAGTCTTCAGTATACATGATTCTGGCAACTGGCTTTCCATAGCTACATGTATCTATATTATTCTTTAAAGAACAGGTTTTAAGGTTTTAACTCTAATGTTCGGAAAGGGAGAATGTTCACCTCTCCTTTCCTTGGAAATGAGTGGGTGGGGATGGAACTAAAGTAAATATACAGTTCTATGGATAAAAATTAACACAGGCAAGGATAGTGAAACTTCACTTCACGTATTTTAGACACGTTGTCAAGAGGGGGCAATCCTTGGAAAAAGATATCATGCTGGGAAAGGTGGAGGGTCAGAGAAAGAGAGGAGGACCCTCAACAACATGGACTGAAACAGTGACTATAGCAATGGGCCTGAGTGTATCAGAGGTAGTGAGCGGAGCACAGGATGGGGCAAGATTCACAGCTCGTGTTCACAGCGTCACTGTGAGCTGGAGTGGACTTGCTCATACCTAACAACATCAGTATGGATTGAAAACGAGCTACACTGTACATCCACTGCCTAGAGGTGGAGACCACAATTCTATTATTAATGAATTCAATGGCAGTAAGTGTATTTTCAAAAAAGTCCATGTTTCATTAATACACTAAGTGTCAGGTGCTATGTTTTCAATAGAGGGAAAGAAATAGGAGTTATGAGGCTTTGTTCAGGAAACAGAAAAACTTGAAGTAGAGAAATTCTATTTTCAACTTTAGAAAACCTTCAGTAGAGGGCAAACTGGATCTAAGCTAATCACAAAATGCAAGTTTCCCCAAATACTAGGTACTGCATAACCTTAATCAAAAAAAAGTCTCCTAGTTCTGTATGGACCAAATATACTAGTTGTTGTTATTGCTATGTACTGTCCACTCAGAATTGACTCAAAGCTGATTTTCAGAAGCAATAAATCATAAGAAGGAGACTGCCCATCTTTCTCCCAAGGAGCACCTGACGTTTTCGAACTGTCTTGTATCGACAGCACAACTCCTTACCACTAAGCCACCAGAATGCCTTAAATATAGTAGTGGTGTTGTATACCACAGAGTCAGAACCCACACATAGCTGACACTCCGGTAGGTTTTCAGAGGCAGTTAATCACCATGGAAGGAAATCGCTCATCCTTCTCCCATGAAGTAACTAGTGGACTTGAACCACGTGCCTTTAGGATTGCAGCATAGCTTCTTGCCACTAGACCACTAGACAGAGCTCCTTAAATATAGTAGAGTTAGTGTTAAATCTGCACTTTACCTAAAAAAGCACATCAGTGGAATGTAACAACAGAGAAACAGCTTTTGTTGGTGTATTGTTATGTTAAACAGAGTGTGACAGCCCTGACTATCTATTGGCACACTCTAACAAGCTGGCATTGATAGTCTCTTCACCTTTCAGTCACACGTGAACTCCCCATGCCCTCCCCAGTGCAGCTGCTCCTTCACCAAACTCTCATTCTCTCTACTCCGCATTAACTCCAGCACCTCCGGTACCTCCACAGGGGAAAGCGGTCTCATGATGAGACCCAAGCATCAAAGCCTCCCAGTCACTCTCTCACAGACCCCAGAAGCTGATGCTGTTTTTCTTCAGGACCTCCAAGAGGGGACTGAGTGGCACAAAGCCCGGCGTACCTCCACAGAGATGTCATCCCTTGTGGCCAGACTCTGACTGACAGCTGCCAGGGAGGCCTGCTCGATGTCCCGGATGCAGCGGTTGATGCCATCAATGGAGTAGTCACACTCTCTCTGCCCAGGGGCCTTGTCTCTGGAAAGAACAATGCAAGTCAAAAACAGCCTTAAACTCCTCCATCTGTCAGAGCCTCAGTGGTCCAGGGGCCTGTCCTCTTCCTCCCTCCAGTCAATCACCTCATTAAGGAATAAACCTGTGGTCCTTGCTTGGCAATCCTCTCTGCCTCACCTGCACCTTTCTGGATTTAAGACTTGAGATAACTCTTTACATCCCTGGTGGGAAGGATAGGGTGCTGCCCTTCACTCCAGGCTGATGTCAAACAAATGCAGAAGGAGAGCTTGAATGTGGATTCACTGAATGAGAGAGAAACTCTCATGGAGTTGAGTTCAACCCCAGCAACCCTGTAAGACAGAGCAGCACTGTCCCACAAGGTTCCCAAGGCTGTAAATCTTTATGCAAGAAGACAGTCACGACATCCTTCTCCTGGGGAATGGCTGGTGATTCTGCTCAGCGGCAGAGTATTTTAACCCCGGTGCCACAAGAGCCCCTTATGTGTAGAACTCTGACAGTAAAAAGGGCAGCACTATTTTCAGTGCAAACATATTATGCTCGATTTATTACAGTCTGTTCACAAAGTCCCTGCCTCTTAATCCTAATGAAAACATTTAGTAGATTTTCCTTTGCAAAGTTAATTGTGGTGTTCAACATTAAAAGCAATAAAGAAACAAGATCTAACTAAGCAAAGTGATACATTCCATGTCGTGGGGAGTTGACTCTGGCCAAGTTAAAAATGTTATATCGACACGAAGGAATGTTTCCCAGGCTCCTTGGATTAGGAAGGAATTCCTAAAGGGTGCAAACGGCAGTTTGTTCTCTAAGAGCTCGCTAGATCAAGTCCACTCAGAGGGGTGGGTCTCTGAGGAAAGCAGATATGGCAATTGGGTTTCTGAAAAACTTGCCACTGAAAACTGCACAGCAAACAGCTCTACCCAGTAGCACATGGGGCTGCCAGAGTCTGAACTAATTATTTTTATGATCACAAAGGACATCAGGGTTGCCATGGTCTTAGGACATTCTTTCTGTCTTACTCATAAATGAAATGTGTGCATTAAAAGCTTCAATTTGCCTAAAGAAAGGCTTATCTCTGGATTTACCTCCTTGGCATAACCTCTAAGATCTCGGAATGCCTTGTCTGCTAAGAGCCTCTTCGCTTATTTGGAGGTCTTATGCTAATGGTATGAGTTAGGTGGGAGTCTTGGCTATGAGTTATCAGATAACCTCCGGAGGGGCTGGAGACCAAGGTCAGCCACCATGGTCAATCAAGTCTACATGACCACTCTCAACATAACTCTAGATCCCAAGGCTGAGGGTGCTTCCTTAGTTGGCCCTGCTTGAGTGTGGTTATGCTTCCAGGAGAAGTAAGATCATGTGTATGATTCCACTGGGACAGGCTCTATGTGCTTCATCCCTTTGCCAGCTTTAATCTGTATCATTTCACTGAACTGAACTATAACCACAAGTACACGGCATTTCTGAAATCTGAATCCTTCTAGCAAATAATTCTATCAGAAAGTGGTTCAAGGAGCCTCTCAAACTTAGAAGATTCCCAATCTTGCCAATGAACAGTGGTGCTCTTTCACTTCCTAGATACAGGCAGTATGGTACAATAATCAGAAGGATGGAGCAAGAGGCATCAGGCTGGAGTGTAACAGGAATGCTACTCAAGTTCTTTCTGCTTGAATTTTCCTATCAATCAAATGGATGTGAGAGTAGTGTTTTTACTTCATGAGGTTGTTATAATGATCAAATAAGAAAGTAGGGTAAAGCACTTACAACAGAAGTTTTCACATAATAATGCTTAAATTAGCTATTGTATGAACATACCATGACTGCCAAGAAAACAAGTAGGTGTGTGTTGGAGAGGCTGAAACCAAGTATCTCATTGAGGCTAGGATTTTGAAGCTCTGTCTCACATACTTTGGGCATGTGGCCAGGAGAGACTGGTCCCTGGAGAAGGACATCATTCTCAGAAGGATGGACAGACAGCACATGAGAGGAATGCCCCAGATGAGATGGATTGATGCAGTAACTGGGGCAGTAGGGGCTTGTGTGCTGGACTTAGTGAGACTGGCTCAAGATAGGGCAGGCTTCAGAGCATACATAGGGTCGTAGGTGACTCAATGGCACATAACAACAACATGGCCAGAACTACCACCAGTACTCAGAAGATGAAGATAATGGGGAGCAACATTATTCTCAAGGGAACGGACTAGTGAGCTTGTCACTCCTGCCCTGCTCAGAGGTCAGCCCACTGCTCTCCCCACACAGGGAAACTGACCTGATGGAGGTGATGAGGCTCTTGATGGAGTCAGACACGGTGTGGGAATGGCCAGCCAGCACGGACCAGGTGGGCGGGTCTTTGGGGTTGATAGCCAGCGATCGGGCAGTGCGGATGAGGTATGATGAGCTTTCCAGCATGGTCTTGGCTGAGACCAGGATGGGTTCCTGCGCTTGGGAGCCCTGGGACCAAATAGCAGAGGGTCAAGGGTAGGACGTGCAGACATCAGAGAATAAGTGCATCCTGGAAGGTCTTGTTATTCATCAAGGAAGGAGATACAGGGGACAGTGACTGGGAGGCTGACTTACACAGGGTCCAGACAGTGGAGACTTGGATCTGCACTTCCTCCTTAAATAGCATTTTCAGCGTGGTACATGTCAGGGAAGAAACCCACAAGCATACTCTATACATGGGGATTGCTCTCAGTGCATAAAGCAAAGGCATTGTTCTCAAGTTGTTGTTGTTATTATGTGCCGTCGAGTCGCTTCCGACTCATAGCGACCCTATGCACAACAGCCCTAAACCCTGCTCTA